TTGTTTTCATTTGTTTCTAAGTTAAGGGAATTATTTTCTAATTTCTATTGTGATTTCTTCTTTGATCTATTGGTTGTTTCAAAGTGTGCTGCTTAAGTTCCAGAAATTGGTGAATTTTTTTGTTTTCTTTCTGCCATTGATTGCTAACTTCATTCTGCCACGGTCATTCTGTTGGCAGTTTGCTTCTTCATGGCCGGCATAAGAATTTCACTCTTTGGTCAGCTGAAATGGAGTCTTACATAAGGCTCACAAGAGTGACTTTCCCATCACCTTTGCTATATAATGTAATGTAATCCAAGCAGCAACTACACAACTTCTGCCCACACTCAAAGGGAATAGGTTGTAAAGGCAAGTACACCACAGGGTTGCAATCTGGAGGGCTACCTCAGAATTCTGCATACAGCAAATATTAAGTAAATATCATAGAATCTTTGTACAAATGTGTATGTAAGATATACTAAAGACAGGCCGGGCACGGTGGCTCACGCCTATAATCCCAGCACTTAGGGAGGCCGAGGTGGGTGGATCACGAGGTCAAGAGATTGAGACCATCCTGGTCAACAAGGTGAAACCCCATCTCTACTAAAAATACAAAAATTAGCTGGGCACGGTGGCGCGTGCCTGTAATCCCAGCTACTCAGGAGGCTGAGGCAGGAGAATTGCTTGAACCCAGGAGGCGGAGGTTGCAGTGAGCCGAGATCACGCCATTGCACTCCAGTCTGGGTAACAAGAGCGAAACTCCGTCTCAAAACAAAAAACAAAACAAAACAAAACAAACAAACAAAAAAGATACACTAAAGACATTGTAACAAACACCTGAGACCCACCATTCATTTTTAGAAAAAAATTATTATAACATTTCAAGTTCCATGTACCTATCCCATTTCCTGTCCAATGATCTTCAATGCTATTTATTAGTACCTGCTTTTTGTTATAGTTTTGCCACTTTTTGTGTCATAGTTTTGTTTGTATCCCTCAACAATATATGGTTTGTTTTGCATAGTTCAGCCATATAGAAATGAAATTATCCATATGTATTGACAACATCATGGTTCTGGGATTCAACCATGTAGTTGCATTTTCACTTTGTGTAACATTTCATGGTATGGATATACCATATTTTGTATTCTGTTCTATTATGGGTAGATATTTCTGTTCTAATTTTTGACTATTCCAAATAATCCTGGACATGAACATTCCTTTACATGGCTCCTTATGTCATGTGGAAATGCTTCTTCTGCAGGTTATATAGCAGAAGCGAAATTAATGTGTTATGGGATAGCATTACTAGTATTTGAGGGAGATCTGTGGGAATCGCTCCCGTGTGAGGCACCTAGGAAATGGGCCTCGCCATACGGTGAGCTTGAGCCCGGACACAGATCCCCGGTTGAGTCGAGCTGAGGGAAAGCAGGAACCGAGAGAGGGACTATGCTATTCAAAATAATTAACAGACATTACTTTACGGATATGAGGACTTGGAAGGCATTGTGTCCACTTTCAGCTCCTTATGGTTTATTGTTTCATTGTGTTCATATTGGACATTCGCTGTAAAATATTAACTTAAGTATTTACACTTGTTAACTTACTTGCTGGGTGTAACTTACTTACCTTAACTTACTGGGTGTAACTTACTTACCTTGACTTACTGGGCATAACCTACTTACTGGGCGTAACTTACTTAGTGGGCTTAACTTGCTTACCTTGTGACTTAACTCAAGTATTTTGATCTGATATAAACAACATTAAGCAGGAAACTATATAATGGAACCTATTGCAAAAATAAAATTGCTGCATGAACATAGCTCATGTGGCCCTCCAGACCTCGCTCTTTTCTTTCTCCTTTTTCTGGCGCACACTCTCTTCCAGGTTTGGGAGCCTTGCTGGACGAGATTCCCAGGCTCGTATTCAGTTCACAACAAGTATTGCCAAATTATTTTCTAAAATAAGCCTGGGAAACATGGCAAAATCCCATTTCTTCCAAAAATACAAAAATTAGCTGGGTGTGGCAGCACGCACATGTGGTCCCAGCTACTCAGGAGAAAGTGGGAGGATCACCTGAGCCTGGGGAGGTCAAGGCTGCAGTGAGCTGTCATCATGCCACTGCACTCCAGTCTGAATGACAGAGTGAGACCCTATCTCAAGAAAAAAAAAAAGCTGCTAAAATTTACAATCTTACCACGCCCTTTCTTTACATGCTTGCCAACACTAAGACATGAATTTCTACCAATGGCTGACACGAAATGGTATTTCATGGGCATTTTAATTTGTGTTGTTCTGATTGCTGCTGAGTTTGATTGAGCCTTTCCTCCTATTTTTCTACTGGGTCATCTGTCTTCTTAGTGCTTAGTTGGAGTTCTTTATATATTCTTGTACTGGTGTGTTATCAATTATATGTCGCAATTGCTTTTCTGCTCTGGCATGCCATTTCAACTCTTTATGTACTATTGCAACAGAATTTCTTAACTTTGCTATAGGCATATATCAATTCTTTTATGGTTTGCACACTTTGGGCTTTATTTTATAAACTGTTTCTTTACTTGACGGTCATAAAGACATTCTCCTTTTTCATCTTCTATATAGTTTATAGATTTGATTGTCAAATTATAAAATATTTTATATTTCACCTAATGTGTATGATTTGAGGTAGGCATCCAATTTCAGTCATTTTCAAATGGATAATCTTTTTTGTCCAACATTATGTATTGAAGTTATTTTTTACCCACTTATTACAGAACAGCTTTATCTTAATTGAATCTTTTTTTTTTTTTTTTTGATGGAGTCTCACTCTGTTGCCCAGGGTGGAGTGCACTGGCACAATCTTGGCTCACTGCAACCTCTGCCCCCCGGGTTCAAGTGATTTTCCTGTCTGAGCCTCCCAAGTAGCTGGGATTACAGGCAAGTGCCACTATGCGTGGCTAATTTTTTTTGTATTTCTAGTAGAGATGGGGTTTTATTGTGTTAGCCAGGATGGTTTCAATCTCCTGACCTCGTAATCTGCCTGCCTTGGCCTCCCAAAGTGCTGGGATTACAGGCGTGAGCCACCATGTCTGGCCGAATTTTTGTATTTTTAGTAGACACATGGTTTCACCATGTTGGCCAGGCTGGTCTCAAACTCCTGACTTCAAGTGATCCACCCACTTATAGGTGTGAGCAACCTCGAGCAGCCAGATTTCTATATACTTATAGACTATTATTCTCTATCCTTTTTCTAATTGTTTATTTCTATGCCATTGCCAAAATGTCTATCATAACTTCAAATTATGCTTGAAATCTAATTGGAGATGTTATTTCCCTTTGTTTTTCTTTTTCTGGAGTGTCTTAGCTATTCTTGGCCTTTTTATTTTCTATGTAACTATTAACATCTGCATGAAAAGTTTTATTTAAAAACAATTGGAGGATGAAATCCAAGAAATCAGAAGAGCTCCTGGGATGATGGCAGATGGGAGGCAGGACTAGACTGCAGCTCCAGACAGAGCAGGATACAGAGGTTTGCACTGTGAATTTTAGCTCCAGATTGATTGTAAGAATAAACTAGCAATCCCAAGAGGAACTACAGACCCTCTGAAGGAAGTGGACTGCTCCTTTAGGACCCTGGAGACCCCCAAACACTGTGAGAGCCCCAACTGTGGAAGTGGGAAAAAGAGATCCTCCTCTCCCGACTACACACTCACACTGGAGAAGCTGAAGGTCTGTTTATGGGAGAAGTTTCTGACTTTACCTGGAGCTGAGTCAAGTTAGAGAGCCGAGTGAAATACGGGGTAGAGGAAGCAGCGGAAAGGCCTTGGGAGCTCACTGGGTCCCCAAGCGGCCCATTCCTGCCTGGGACCACAGGGATCCATTGGAAGAGTGGCCAGGGGAGCAGATGGCAAAACTCCACAGGAAGAAGGAATCTGTAGCTGAACTTTGTAACAATGTGAACTGGGCAAGAAGCCTGGCCAGAACTTGGGGGACTGTGCGAATCTGGCTTGCACACTACACAGGCAGGGGAAGAACTAAAGCCCTTTTCTTTTGCAGCTGGGAGGTAGATAGCATCAGGCAAATTTTCAAGCCTGTCTCACCCTCCACCTGGAAACAGACTCCGGGCTGTTGCAGGGTCACAGTGGGAATGAGACCAGCCCTTTGCTTTGCATGGGATCTGAATGAGGCCTGTGACTGGGGGCTTTCTCCTACTTCCCTGACAACCTGCATGATTCAGCAGAGGCAGCCATAATTCTCCTGTATACACAATCCCAGTAGCCTGGGAATCTCACGCCCATTCCCCACAGCACCCGCAACAAGGCTGCCCAAATAGAGTCTGAGCTCAGACACACCTAGCCCTGCCCCTACCTGGTGGTCCTTCCCTATTCACCCTAGTCAACCAAGGAAAAAGTAACTTGAATTTGAACCGCGTTTAAAAGCACATAGTATCGACGCCTACAACACTAGCAACACAAAATTGACACAGCAGGAGATGGCTGGGGAATTTGTTTTTTAAGATAGGGTCTCGCCCTGTTGCTGAGGCCGGAGTGCAGTGGCCGACCGCTCGGGCTCCAGTAATCCTCTCACCCCAGCCTCCCAGGTAGGTGGGACCACAGGTGGCACCACGTCAAGCCCGTATGCAGTCTTTACATAAGACAAATTGCAAAAAATGTTGCTAGACAGTGTTCGCTAGTTTGGGCCGTCGGTGGGAACGGCTCCAGTGTCCGTCTAGATGATCAGATGCCGGGGACAGTCCTCAGCGGGGCTGCTCGGCGGGCACAGAGCAGCCGCTGGCCCATGGGCTTATGGGAGTGGGAACGGCTTTTAACTCGGCCGCGAGCGGGGAAGGCGTTCTGACCCGCTAGAGCTCGGGGCGAGGGACCCTACCCGCTGCCTAGAGCGCCTCTAGGCGCCTGCCGTAGCCGGCGCGGGCCGGTGCTAGCGGTCCGATAAGAACTCAACCGGCTCCTGCACCTCCCTGTACTTCTCGCTGCTTCTTCCAGTCACTTCTACCCCGCGAGTCGGCCCGCCCGCCAATCGTCACTTCCGGCGGGTGCTGCGCATTATTTACGTCGTCACTTCCTGTCGATGCCGGTGTGGACGCTGTGAATCGTGGCTGGGTCGGTTCTCCGCTTCTCCCCGTCCCCTACTTTCCTCCCTCCCTCCCTTTCCCTCCCTCGTCGACGGTCGCTCGCCCGTCGCAGACTCCCGGACCCCACCCTCACCCCTTCCTAACCTCCGTGCCACCGGATTGCCCTCCTTTTCCTGTCTCCCAGCCCAGCCCCAGTGTCAGGGCGGGGGCCTGGAGGAGCCGGAGGCGCTGCAGCAGACGAGAGAAAAAGACAACGACGACCCTCGGCTCTCCAGTCCGGTAGCCGCACTCGCCGCCGCCATGGCAATGAGACAGACGCCGCTCACCTGCTCTGGCCACACGCGGCCCGTAGTTGATTTGGCCTTCAGTGGCATCACGCCTTATGGGTATTTCTTAATCAGCGCTTGCAAAGGTGAGCAAGGCCTCTGATCCTTGTCCCCGATCGCTGGGACTGGGCTGAAAGGGATTGGGACCCGCACGCTCCAGTGCCGAAGCGCGGGGTTGGCGGGGGCGGGGAGGGAACGCTATTAACCTCCGAAGTGAGGGCCAGCACTGGAAGTCCGGTGGAGAAAGCAATGTGTTCGAGAATCCGCAACTGGAGCCGAGAGACCTCTGGACGCTTTTGTAGAGACTGTTACCTCCAACTAAGACCCCTCTCGTTGTTTTCTTTTTATTGCTATTTTTGGAGGAGCTGGACAGCACTTGCCTGCACTCTCGGGACAACGTTGTAAATAGCTTTCAAGGATTTGGGGAAAGGAGAAATTAGGCCAGGCCGTGAAATACTTAACAAAGACGTTCGCTCTTGTCTCACTGGATATTCCTTTGTGGCATTAGCCTTATTTTTCAGATGGGAAACTGAGATTTAGGCTAAGGTGTTTGTCCAAATTAAGAGTCAAATCTAGATTGTTTTGACGCAGATCAGCATTCCCACCGAATTACAGATGCTTTTCAGAGAGAATGGTCTGTTCGGCTCTCAGTTAATTTATTTCTGGACGTTCCTTGGTGACTTCAATGGGCGGTTAAATAGTTGAAACGATTTTTCCACTTTGTCATTGAACATCATTGTATATTTACATTTGCATCTTAGACTTTAATCTGAACTTTAAATCACATGTCTTAAAAAATATTTTCTAGATGGTAAACCTATGCTACGCCAGGGAGATACAGGAGACTGGATTGGAACGTTTTTGGGTCATAAAGGTGCTGTTTGGGGTGCAACACTGAATAAGGATGCCAGCAAAGCAGCTACAGCAGCTGCGGATTTCACAGCGTAAGTGTAGCCAAGATGGCTAACGTCGGTGTTCTCTGTAGATTGTGTCCAGAAATAATGAAAAAGTTCAACCTCAGATATTCATAGAATTCTGAATCACTGGCTGCTATGTAGAATGCCAGATGTTTGAGCTCACCAAAATTCCACTGTGGTCCTGTGTGCTTGTTTTCAGTGGTTCTCAAAATTTTCAGAGGCTTAAATGACTTATTCCTTATGTTTTGATTAAGACTCAGGAGCCTGCATGAACAAACACTCCAGATGATGAATATTGATCTCCTTTACGAATGCTGCTCTGTGTGTACTCCTTAGTGAAATCCTACATGGGTGGCCTTAGGTTTTTATCTCAATCCCAGTTTTTGTTAGCTTGCTTTAGGCATCACTAACACTCATTGTGTCAAACAAACAAAAACAAAAAAACTCAACTTCTCTTCATTTCCTAAGTTTTTGAAGGTTGAAATGTAAAACATTCTTGATTTTCCCTTACATCTAGATTATCATCATCTTTTTTTGATTCTGCCACTGGGATGTCTCCTGATTACAGTGTTCCTCCATGTAGTATCTGCTGCTGCCTTAGTTCACAATCATTTTTAACTTTCTTCCAGTAGTTTCTTTTCCTCCTCTTCATATTCCATATTGTTGTCAGTTGTTTTCCTAAAAACATGTTTGATCATGTCACTTCTCTGCCTAATGATTTTCCTGTCTTCCCTTTGCCATTTTAGTATTTTGTGACCTTTGATATACATTAGAATACCAGGAGAGCTTTTCAAATATTCAAATGTATGTGTCCCAGAAACTCGGATTTAAAATTTTTTTTGGGTTTTTACTCTCTCTCTATATATATACTTTTTGCTACATGTAAAAATACTTTTTAATGCTTTTTACTGTATAGACACTAGCTGTGTTTCCCAGGCTGTCTTAAAACTCTTGGCCTCCATGCCTCAGCCTCTCAAAGAACTGGGGTTACGGGGTGAACTGCCATGCCTGGCACAGACCTTCTGGTTTGATTGGTCTGAGGATGGAGTACTGATCATACTGATCAGTGGTGGTTTTTTTTCTTGCCTTTCTTTCCTGTGTGCAGCCTTAGAAGCACGGACCTGAAGGACACTTCAGTTGTTGACACTTTACAGTTCGCTTCATCCTAGTTCTTCAGCATCATCTTCTGGCCCTGCACACCATAAACCCTACAATCTAATTATACTACACTTACTGTTGCCAGAATATACCTTACCTGTGCTGACTTTTGACTGTTAATGATGTTACTAAACTGACTGGCAGTGGCCCTCTTTGCCTTTTTGGGAATGTATAATGTTTTATAAATCTTGTTATTTCCAGTTCCTACCTGGTATTTGTAACTTAGGAATTTGACACTTGATTGTTTAAACTGATGAAGGCAATATCAAGAGCTGTTGTACATACACAGATTTATTAGACTTAAGAGGCTGGAGAGTACAAGTATTATTGGTTATTTATTATTTATTATTTATTTATTTCATTTATTATTTTTGAAACAGAGTCTTGCTCTGTGCCCAGGCTGGAGTGCAGTGGCGCAATCTCGGCTCACTGCAATCTCTGCCTCCCAGGTTCAAATGATTCTCCTGCCTGAGCCTCCTAAGTAGCTGGTTCTACAGGTGCATGCCACCATGTGTGGCTAGTTTTTGTATTTTCAGTAGAGACGGGGTTTTGCCATGTTGGCCAGGCTGGTCTCAAACTCTTAACCTAAAGTGATCTGCCTGTCTTGACCTCCCAAAGTGCTGGGATTATGGGTGTGAGAGCCATCCTTCCTGGCCTTTGATTTTTATTTTTTTAACAGAATCTCACACTAAGGAGTAATTTTAAATGTCCTGCCTCCTTCTTTTATGAAAATTAAACATACCAGTTTTAGAATGAAAAACTCAAGGTAGATTGATGTTGGTGGTGAATACATGACTGTATGGTCTTCTTTGTGGAAACAGCATTGTTCTTATGCTTTCTTAACATGTCAAGTCTCAATGTCTGTGTTTACAAGTGGTATTAAGAGCATGAAGGTTGGAGCCAGATGACCTGTATTTGAATTGGTGGCCTCAGACACTTTATTTAACCTTTCTTTTTCTCTCATGGTGCCTCATAGGTTGCTTATGAATATTAAATAAATTAATACGTTTCAGATACTTAGAACATTGCCTGAAGTCTTAAGTCTATGAAAGTGTTACATATGTAAAGTAACAATGATAGCTACCACTAAACTGTTACCACCCACACTTGATCAAAATCATATATTATTTTGAAACTAATATGGCTAAAGGCTTGAAACATTTGGCTTCATGTAAAGAAGGTTGAGTAGATTTAAATTTCAAGAAAAGATTTTTATGATTTTTTTTTTTCTTCTCAGTTAAGGCTTTAGGTGCTGTGTTGGAGTGGAAAATAATAACAAACATTGGCGCTATGGGGGCTTGCATTCATGTGCTTAACTATGGTGTGTGTTTCCAGTTTGATCATCATAGGATTTTTTTGTTTGTTTTTTTGAAACAGGGTCTTAGGTGCCTAGGCTGGAGTGCAGTGGCGTGATCATAGCTCACTGCAGCCTCTTCCTCCCAGTCTCAAGCAATCCTCCAACCTCAGCCTCCTGAGTAGTGACCACAGGCATGTACTACTGTGCTTGGCTAATCTTTGTATTTTTTGTAGAGACAGGACTTTGCCATGTTGTCCAGATTGGTCTTGAACACCTGGGCTCAAGCGATCTGCCCACCATGGCAGGATGTTTCTTAAACCTCGATTTTAGGTAAAATGGAATTGAGATCCATGAGATTATTGGAGGAACAAAGAGATCTTTCTCCACCATATATCTCTGAAGTTCAATATGATCTCTGTCATATAGTAGGTACTCAGTAAATGCTAGCTGAGATTTATCCCTCAAGTCTATGTCTTGTCTGTGGGGTATAAGAATGTGTTTTCGTGTGTGTGTGTGTGTGTGTGTTTGTGTGTATTCCAAATGCTCGTTGAGATTTATCTCTCATTTCCTCTATGTCTTGTCTGTGGGGTATGGGTATGTGTTTTCGTATTTGTGTGTGTGTGCGTGTGTAACTCCCAAGAAGTTACTCCCCACAGCCTACCTGATTAGTCATAGTTGGTATAAAGCATTTTTAGAAACATCTTTTTTTTTCTTTTCACTCTTAAATCTCTTGGAAAACTCAAAATCTAGAAGTGGATTTTGGTCCTGTTTCTTGTGGAGAAATTCAGCAGAATAGGTCTGTGGACTAGTGTAGCATGTTATCTTAAGAATTTGGGCAATTGAGTTCAGTGTTGAGTACAGCGTCCCCCAGACATCATCCTCTCTGTATCTGTTTGGGAAGAGTGCCAAAGTGAAGACAGTTCTGTGCTGTGCTGCTGAGAGTGCTTAAGTAGGTCTGGGATTGGGCTCGGGAATTTATAGGTAATCAAAGTATATCACTCCTTCTTGTAAAGCTAATAGAAATGGCTGATTTTAATTTTAATAAGGGTTTTGACAAATAAAAAATGGTATCTCCTAGATGACTTGGTCAACATGTTAAGGTAGTTATGCGATAAAAAAAAATCTTAAATGGGTTTAAATAAGCAAGTTAAGCAGCTCCTATTATGAGACTTATGGTAAGTTCATTCTGAGGATACAAAAAGTTGATCAGCCAGGATTATTATATGCAAGAGACTGGGGCTATAAGAGGTATCAGTAGTTTAAGGAGATGACAAGTACTTCGTGAGATGTAAAGAAAATAAATGTTGGAAGGTGAGCTGCTGAAAGGATATTGTTAATGGCGCTTTACTGTCTTGATTTGAGGTCTGCTGCCAACTAATACATGTCAGTTTCTTGCCTGGAAATTGAATAATACATTAGGAAGTATTTAGGTTAGATGCATTTTAGGACTCTTAACTGTGAATAATGGAAATACGTCAGAGTTAGTACATGCCCTGTTAGAAAATGTCATGCCTCTATTTTAGTACTAAAGTAAATCCTGTTTCTAAATAGGAGGAAAAACTACAGACACATTACCTCTTGTTAATGTTACTACTTTGATTACTCCAACTCTGTCCTCAGCAGTGAATAGACACAGTCTAAGCAGATCTTAAGATTTTAGAGCTGGCATGGTGGCATTAGCCTGTAGCTATTTAGGCGGCAGAGGTAGAAGGATCTTGAGACCAGGAGTTCAAATATAGCTTGGGCAATATAGCAAGACTGTCTCAAAAAAAAAGAGGTTTTACATTTATGGAAGATTACTTAAGGTACTTGAAATTAGCATCCCAAAGGACATTGCCCAGATTTCTTTTGAGACTTGTGAGTAACTAGAATAGTAATTTTGGATACATTTGTTGTTTTCTTCACTTTTGATGCCTTCTGTCATTCTAATATCTGTGAACTCTTAACACAGCCATGAATTTCCCTGTGATTAAGGATATATGTAAACAAAACAAGGCAAACTTAAGCACAGGAATAAATATAAGTGGAGTTCTGTGGCAGAAGATAAAGGAATGGTTAGTTCCTGGAGTTGAGAATAAATAGGTTTAAAGAAAAGATAGCATTTGAAATGAGCCCTGAGAGTGAGTAGAACTTTAATAGCTAAGAATGTAAAATACAGACTTAAGAGAATAATATGAACAAGAACATAGGAGCCTGGAAGAAAATACTTAAGTTATTTGAGGAATGATTTATAATCTGATGTGGCTAGATTCAGAGAAACAAGACAGAATGAGGTTGGGAAAATAGGTTGGGGGCAGAGAGTTGCACTGGAATGAGAGAGAGGGGAGCAGGTTTCCTGTGCAAAGAGAAATGAATACTGGGGAGTTTATTAGCAAGATTACTTATAGTTGTCATTATTTCTTTTAGAATGTGACCCACGTTATTACAATATTGCAAGTTTTGGTAGTGTATCATCAGAATTCCTGGCAGATGGTCTCTCGTATTAACCGCATTACACGTGCTATTAATGCTTATCTGGATCTTCCCTTCTTTTCCTCCTGATATATTTCTCTTTGTTTCTTCAGACGGCTAGACAACATCTAAGTGCTTTTTTTTTTAGTTTTTATAGCCATATATATTTGTCTTTTAATGATGTTTCTTAAATGTGTTATTTAATGCATGTTTTCCTCCTCAGCTAAAGCTCTGCTAGGGCAAGAACCTACTGCGGGATATTTTGTCTCCCATTTGTGCCTTAGCACTAAGTGTAGAATGATACATCTTTAATATACTTTTTAATGTATCTATTAGGTAGACAAAGGAAAAGATACTTTTTGCTTTTCTCTGCTTTTTTTCCCCCTCTACTATTTTATTGCCTACTTGTGTTCCTAAAAATAAATGCCAATTGCATTAAAGTGGAAATCTCTATAGAACATAGCTTCCTTACTCTTAGCAATTCTTTTCCCTGTCTGCAAAGTTTTCTTGTTGATTTTTCACTGACCTGTTCTGATCTAAAATCAACTTTTTTTCCTTATTTAAGCTTTTTTATTTGGGGGAACCTTTTTAGAGTAATTTTGTAAAGCAGTTTTCAACTATTACCTGCCTGGAATATACACACATACATGTATGTATTCCTACAACCACTATGTATTTTGAGACGGGGTGGGTCAGAAAAAACGAATGTAAAGATTAAAATTATCTAGCAGCATTATTTAATCAAAGGCTGATACTTTGGGGGACGTTAACTGTAGTAGAGTTTGAAAATTTAAGTCAGCTTTGAAGAGGTGGAAATTGTCCACTGTCTTAATTTAAAATTTTACTTAACCTGTACAAAGGGTTTCCTTCCCCTGTAAAATTTTTAAGGATTTCTGTTTATTTTTTATTTTTTGTTTTGCATTTGAGTGGAAATAGAGAAAAAATTGGCAGAGTGAAACTAAAAATTGTTTAAAATATATTACATGCTTGCTAAAGGGATATTATGGCTGTCAGCTAAAACCAAAGTAAGTAGGATGGGTTGGGTCATGAATCTTACTTAAATTGTTAATATCTCTTCTACTGTCAAAGAAAATTAGATCAGTTAGAAAGTCTTTACAGAGAAATTTCTTTTCCCTTAAGATTGTTTAAATATTTTATCAAATGAAGCCTGTGAGGGATATTAGAGGTAAGGGAGGTTTATCATACATTTATGTAACATTTCATATATCTAACTTATTAGGTACTCATCAATATTATAATTGTGTTTGGACTTTTAATATATTAATATTGAGTACGATTTATCCCACTGATTTTCCTTTTTGCTTTTAGCAAAGTGTGGGATGCAGTCTCAGGAGATGAATTGATGACCCTGGCCCATAAACACATTGTCAAGACTGTGGATTTCACACAGGTATCAGAAAATGAAATTTATTTCAGCGAGTTAAGTTCCTATTATATAGTGTGATAACGCTTTTATATTTGATTGATACATTTTGTGTGGAATATTTGTTATTTCTTGGTTCATATTTGATTTGATTGTATTATTAAGTTCTATGAATTTGTTTCATGGTTAATCCTGTCAAGCTTTTAAGAAACCTTGGAACAAGTACCAGTCCTTCACCAATAGCAAAACACATCTGAAAAGCTCAGGGACCTTTCCCAACTACTTATAGAAGGGAGAAGGTAAATTTGAAGTAGTCATAAAAGGGTGTCTCATGAGGGAGAAGAGCAGGATCAGGGCACAATGAAAGAATTCGTGTATATGTAGTGTAGTGTTACACTTTTGGTCTGGAAAGCTTAAAAGGCTTGGCAGTTACAAGAAGGGCAGCTGTTCCGCCGTGTCTTTCAGAAGTAATTGGTTATGTCTTGCATCTCTTTGTGATGTCTGTGAGCTAGATTTTGATTTTATTTGGTGTTAAAGAAGTTTGAAAGAGAAATAACTATTAAAATGGTTAATCTCTTAACCTTTCACTTTGCGTTTTCAGGATAGTAATTATTTGTTAACCGGGGGACAGGATAAACTGTTACGCATCTATGACTTGAACAAACCTGAAGCAGGTAAGCATAATTTATGCATCACCTTGTAGTTTTATTTCCTTTTAATTTAAGTAACTGATGAAAGGATTTCATGCTCAGTACTCAAATTTGAAAAAATATAGTCAAAAAGAAGAAAATTAAAACAATTCATCAGTTTTTGGTTTATAAACTTTCAGTCTTTTTTTTTTCCTGCAAAGTTTTAAAAAAATGAGTTTGCTACGTTGCTCTCATATAACCTTTCAAATTGAAAATTTATTATGGTGAATTTTTATCATTAAGTTTTAAAACAGTGCAGAACAGTGTTCATATTTCTTGGTACAAAAGAGTGGTTACTTATAGAAAGTGGTGATGGTGAGAATTCTCAGTTGTGTACACATGTTGCTTAGATTTTTGAAGCCTGTAAATATATTAGCTATTCAAAAGAATTTTTAAAATCTGCAATGACACTTTTTTTTCACATCGCTAAATAGTCTATGAACTATTTGTAAGGACTTTCTGGTTTTCCATCTTGTGGATATATCATCGGTGAATTAACTGGTTTCCTGTTTTGGCTGTTTACAAATTTTAAATATTAAAAGGAGTATTTTTGCTAAACATCCTTATAGTTGCAAATATTTTCACAATTATTTCTTTAAGATAATTAAGCAAAAGTAGAATTGGTGGGACAAAGAGGAGTAGAATTGTTGGAAGGTGGGTGGGCATGGTGGCTCATGCCTGTAATCCCAGCACTTTGGAAAGCTCAGGTGAGCAGATCACCTGAGGTCAGGAGTTCGATACCAGCCTAGCCAACATGGTGAAACCCCATTTCTACTAAAAATACAAAAAAATTAGCTGGGCATGATGGTGGGCGCCTGTAACTCCCAGCTTGCTGGGAGGCTGAGGCAGGAAAATCCTTTGAACCTGGGAGGCAGAGGTCAAAGTGAACTGAGATCATGAGATTGCACCCCAGGCTGGAGTACAAGAGCGAAACTCCTCAAAAACAAAATGAATTGTTGGAAGCCATTGATAGATACTACCGAAGTGTCTTCCAACAAAGTATAAGTGTATATATATGTATCTATACCCAACATCTTTTAGTGAACACTGGTAACTAACTTTATCTTTGTCAATTTAGTAGAAGAAAATAATTCTGTGGTATTAATATGAATATTCATGAGATTAAAATGCTGTTGAATACCATTTTAAATGTATTTCCTTCTTTATGAAATAACTGCCTGTACCCTTTGCCCATTTATCTGTTGTGTTATTCGTGTCTTTCTTATTGGTTTTTAAAGTCTCTTTATTGAATTCTAATTTATCATTTGCTTTTAAATTTTATTAAGGTGGTTTTATGGTATATACATTTTAAAAATTTTGATGACGATATCCTTTATGCATTCTCTGATTTTACAGAAATTATGGGTATCTTCCCCCATCCACATATTCACCTTTATTTTATAATTTTTTAATTATTTCCGTCACCACATATATACTTAGCTACCAAAACATGGCAGTCATAATTTTGTTTTATATTTGGTATCATTCAAATTTTATTATGTGGACATTTATGTAGTCATAAATCTATAAAATTTAAGAGAGTCAGAACCACATTGGAAAGTAAGCAGTTATTCTCTTGAGATACCTTCCATTTCTGAGAGCTTTTAAAAATATTTTACATTTTTAAAACAACTTATTTTAACTAAGTATTAGGGTAGTTTGTTATGAAAACTTTTTTAAGGTGAGGAAACAAACTGCATTTACAGATTTTTTTCTTCTCCATTGTATATAGGAGTTTTTTCTCCTTTCTTTTTTGATAAATGTATGCCAAAACAGCAAAATACTCTGACGACCTCATTGAATCTATGAACCTATTCGACAGAGCAAGGTGGTTCAGGGATTGGGTTGACATTTTTCATTTCTATACCTTTCCCAAAGCTGCTTTTTGAAAGTTGCTCTTTCACTGTGCAGGTAGCAGAAATGATAGCAACTTCCTGGGGTTTTACTGTGTATCAGGCATCTGTTAAGCACTAGTCTCATTTGTAACCATTGTTATCTCATTTTATAGATAAGGAAGTAGAGTTTAAAAGTTAAGTAACACGCCCAAAGGTGAAAATAGTGTTGAATGGCATTGCCTCCAGTGTTTTTGTTCCCCAGACCCCAGTGAAGGTTTTTTAAGTGTTTGTTTTTGTTCCCCAGGCCCCAGTGAAGGTTTCTTAAGTGTTTGTTTTTGTTCCCCAGGCCCCAGTGAAGGTTTTTTAAGTGTTTGTTTTTGTTCCCCAGGCCCCAGCGAAGGTTTTTTAAAGTCCTTTGAAAGGATAATTTACAGATTCAAGCTCCCTTCCTTTTTATGCTTTCCTCACAGTGTAGAAACATTTTCTTTGCTGTCCTGCTTTCTATTTCCCTTTTCCTTCCAACCCTTATTTCCCATTCTTTGCTACCAATAGCTGCTTAAATGAAGGTCCCAGAGGTGGCGTCAGTACTAGAATCAGTTTCAACTGTCTTGTTCCTGGGTCCATGTTCTTATTAAATCATGCCACGTTAATTATTCTTTTATTTCATGGCAATAGAATAATGCTTTTGACTATTATCACTTGTGCAGAAAATTAGCCTAGAGGGAGTGAGTCGTGCATTCACTCAGGTACATATAGCAAGCGTGGTGTAGTTCTTTGGTCTCTGTCATGCAGGTAGGTTTATGTTCCAGTATAGAAAAACTAACCGTATTCTGTATCATCAAGTTTGAACTGGGCTGGGCTTTGAAAACTTGCAGTCTAATTTAAAATGTGTGTTTTAAAAATATATAATTGTTCCAATTTTGTTCAGTTTAAAAAATCATATGTTAACAAATGTACTTTAAATTGTTGTATTTCAAGAACCTAAGGAAATTAGTGGTCACACCTCTGGTATAAAAAAAGCTCTGTGGTGCAGTGAAGATAAACAGATTCTTTCTGCTGATGACAAAACTGTTCGGTAAGTAATTTTTCTTTAATAGTTTACAATTTGAGGCTGGGCATGATGGCTCATTCCGGTAATCCCAGCACTTTGGGAGGCGAGGCAGGTGGATTATTTGAGGTAAGGGATATAAGACCAGCCTGGCCAATATGTCAAAGCACTGTCTCTACGAAAATTAAAAAACTTAGCCAGGCATGGTGGCATACACCTTTAATTCCAGCTACTCGGGAGGCTGAGGCAGGAGAATCACTTGAACCTGGGAGGTGAAGATTTTAGTGAGTTGAGATTGCACCATTGCACTCCAACCAGGGCGACAGAGCAAGACTGTCTCAAAAAAAAATTACAGTTTGAAAAAGATTTTCCCTTAGATTATATTTTAAATATATTTAATAACTATTATGTGGGTAAAATGGTCTGAGCATGAAAATTTCATTTGCACACAGGTCACATTTATCTGGAGCTATTCATTTGCTATTATAGGTTAAGTATCCCTAACCTGAAAATCTGATGTTTGAAATGCTCTGAAATCTGAGACTTTGAGTGCCTACTTGATACTTAAAGGAAATGCTCATTGGAGCATTTCGAATTTCCAATTTTCAGGTTAGGGATTGTCAATCACTAAGTGTCTAATGCAGATATTCCAAAATCTGAAAAAGTTTGAAATCCAACTTCTTTCTGTTCCCAAGTATTTTCAGTGAGCGATACTCACCTTGTAAATACTGACAGCAAAATTCAGAAGAAAACTAAAATTACTGATACCTTTATAAGTAGGTGTTCTTAACCTGGGTCTGTGGACAGGCTGACTAAAGGGAGGGTCCATGAAGCCTCTGAAATTCCTTACAGAATTTTGTGTGCCGATACCTATATATATTTCTTTGGAAAGATGTGTAGCTATCATTAGATTCACAAAAGCAGATTATAAAAACCACTATTCATAGCAATACTGAAATTGACTAGATTAGAACTTGTCTTAAAAAATGCAGTTTGCCACATTGGGAAGTGTATTTAGGTATTAAAGTTGATTTTACTTACAAGCTACCATGCATAATTTGACATTGTATATAGAAACACAGAATTTCTTTTTGTTATCTGTAGTTTGTGACTTAGGATGAATGCTGTATTTCTGTAATTGTGATTGTTCTTTCGTTGGCTAATCTGTAGATGTAATTAGGATTTATAAATTTTTTTTACATGACTAAACATCATATTTTTATCTTTATTTTGCAGACTTTGGGATCATGCTACTATGACAGAAGTGAAATCTCTAAATTTTAATATGTCTGTTAGCAGTATGGAGTATATTCCCGAGGGAGAGATTTTGGTTATAACTTATGGACGATCTATTGCTTTTCATAGTGCAGTAAGGTATGCCCAAGAATACTTTGCGTTTTCTTTTTTAGGTAACACAGTTCCATTAGGCAACTTAAATATTGAAAGATATTTGCTTTTTTTTACAGTAAAAAGGAAGGCTGGGCACAGTGGCTCATGCCTGTAATCCCATGACTTTGGGAGGCCCAGGCGGTCAGGAGATCCAGACCATCCTGGCCAACGTGATGAAACCCCATCTTTAGGAAAAAATAAAAAAGTAGTTAGGCCAGGTGTGGTGGCTTATGCCTATAATTGCAGCACTTTAGGAGGCTAAGGTGGGAGGATGGCTTGAGACCAGCCTGGATAACACAGTGAGACCCCCATCTCTACAAAAAATTAAATTAGTTGGGCGTGGTGGCACACGCCTGTAGTCCAGCTGCTCTGGAGGCTGAGGTGGGAGAATTGCTTGAGCCCGGGACGTTGAGGCTACGGTGTGCTGTGATCTTGACACTGCCCTGCAGCCTGGGTGACAGAGCAAGACCTCCTCTGAAGAAAAGAAAAAAAAAAAGCAAAAACTACTGGATTGGTCCTGTAATTGATGTTTTTTACTATATAAAACCAGTGTGAGCTGGGGCATGGTATCTCACGCCTATAATCCCAGCATCCTGGGAGGCTGAGGTAATCGGATCTCTTGAGGTCAAGGGTTGGAGACCAGCCTGACCAACATGGTGAAACCCTGTCTCTAAAATAAAAATACAAAAAGAAAAAAAATTAGTTGGGTGTGGTGTTGGGCACCTGTAATCTCAGCTACTTGGGAGCCTGAGGCAGGAGAATTGCTTAAGCCCAGGAGGTGGAGGTTGCAGTGAGCTGAGATCGTGCCATTGCACTCCAGCCTGTGTGACAGAGTGAGGCTCTGTCTCAAAAAACAGAACAGTGTGATCTTGATTCCACTATTTATTTTTGCCTTGAAATTTTAGAGAAGGAATAATCTTATTTCTATTCCTATGTGCAGACTTAATTATTTTTTTAAAGAGATTCAAATTTTGCAACTTTAAATGTAGTAAATACTCTTGTAGAAAGACTGGACGATATAACAATTGAAAAAAATGTACTCACAATATTATAACCATAGGTGCAAGAATGTTAATGGTAGCTATATTTTCTGCTAGTCTTTTTTTCTATGTTATGTATGTGGGTATACAGTATTTGTGTGTTTTTCTTTAATTACTAGGACCATAATAAATGTCATTTTGATTTTTTAATTTAAAAATATTATTAGCTATTTAAAACTTCTGAGAAAACATTTTTAGTTGATACACTATATTGCATTATAGGTTGTCTTAAATTATGCGTTAGTTTCCCTATTTTAGTACTGTGGTGAATGCCCTGGTACATCTCTGAGTGTTTCTTCACAGGAGATAGGATCCTGTAAGTAGAATTATCAGTTCAAAGGGTAGAAATGGGTTTAAAGTTCTTAGTTACACATGACACTTAATTGATTTCCGTAAAGATTATACCACATTACACTTTGATTGGTATTTGACCAGTGTCTTAACCGTGTGTTTAAGGGGCTACTTGCAGAGTTAAACTTCACTAAACTGGGAGAAGGAAAGAAAAGGCAGTAAAACTGGAGGAGAGCAATTAAGAATGTCAAGGAGTTTGTACACATAGAGTGAACTGATAATAGTAGAATACTGTTGCCTGGAGCTGTCAATTGGTATATTAATGCTGTTCATTCACTTCTGCAGTTGGACAAATCCCATGTTGGTGGCAGAAGTTTTCTGGCACATTGAATATTCCAGCATTTGAGCCAGACCTCGTTATGTAGTGATCCTGCTTAAGTCATGACTAACTTTAATTATCGTGCTTTAAAGTATATGATGATGGGAAACATTTAGGAGCTGGGTTACTATAATGCTTTGTATTGGAGGCCTTTCGTGAGTTTTAGGGTTAAACTGAAAAAGAGCTAATGTCCAGACTGTAATTAATTTTAAGATGAAGCTATTATTGTGCATTGATTTTTGTTATGTAACTAGAGCCCCAAATTTTGTTAGTTTTTTATTGGCTTATAGTAAAAACTTTTTAGCAGTTTAAATTTTATGACACTGAAAGTTTATCTTGCTGAAGAGCTTAAACCCTAAGCAGTTGATAATAATATATAAATAATCCTCTATATTAATTCATTATCTACTGTGAAAACGTTTTCTACTTACAAAGATAATATGTGCTTGTAGAAAAACGAAACAATATAGGTGAAATTTATTTAAAAGCAAAAAGCCCAATGTATTACTCATACTGTTTTAATTAGCCAGCACTCATTTCCAAGAAGACGTTCACTGCATAAACTGGGTATCTCTCCTTCAAAATGTCTTTGTATTCCTGAGATGAGCTCCACTTGGGCATAGTATACATCTGAATTTTTGTTTTGCTAATAGAGCTTTTTTATATCAGTGTTTATGTTTGAGTAAATGTATATTTAATTGTTCCTTGGATTTCAGAATTTAAGAATCGTTTAAATAACTCATTATTTTCTCGTATTATTTATACAATATTCAAGATTTGTAAATACGACTTAATTTTTTTTTCAGTTTGGACCCAATTAAATCCTTTGAAGCTCCTGCAACCATCAATTCTGCCTCTCTTCATCCTGAGAAAGAATTTCTTGTTGCAGGTGGTGAAGATTTTAAACTTTATAAGTATGATTATAATAGTGGAGAAGAATTAGGTGAGTTGTTCTCTGTGTCCTCCCTTACAGTGATGTGATGACCTTTATCATATGTTAAGTTCCAGTAATTAACACCTCATTTATATAACATGCTGAAAGCCAGTTTTCAGCCAACTTAATGCTTGGTGCTTATAAGTGAAAAAGTAAAGGAATTTTAACCATTTGGGTTAGATGCTTTTATCTATCTGTAAACAAAGTATGCAGAAATTTGTCCTTCTAACTGAAGTTCATCATTATGCTGATATTATGCATTATAGTACCATGATTTTTAGGCTTTCTTGGCTGGGAGGGAGGGGGGAATCTTATGTCAAATCGCATGTTAAACAGATGCAAGGAGATCCACTGTTTCTGAGGTATGTTGTTGGTATGTAACCCCGTCTACTTGGCCCATCTTCCTTTTGGCCAACTTAGGAATCCCTAAGACTCTATAAAGAACAGTGTGTGGGGGAAAAACCACTATAGCATATTGCAGGGATACCTTTAGGAATCTGAATTGGAGAGTTATTTTTCTGATTTTTATTTATTTTATTCTATTTTGGGGTTCAGTTTTGCTTTCATTTTTATAGTAGTCCTTTGTAAGGGGAAAGAAAAGGCCTGCGGATTAGTTTGAAGTTAACAGATATTTATCTGATGGACCAGATATTTCACATAGTTAGTTACATGTGGTTCTCAGTGTCTACTTTTAGCCTTCCCAGATAGTTTTTGCTTTTAATTAAGAAATATATTTAGCTTTTCTAAATATGTGTTTTTGTCTATAAGCTGTCACTTCTTGTTCTTATCTGTTTCTAGCTGTCCTGCTTTACCACTCAAAGAACTGAGCTTGCTAGAATTATACACAAAGAACAAAAGACAATTTTTTGTGTTTTGTTTCTTGGGGAACATTGACTTGTCTGGGTTGCACAAATGGAACCTTGGTGATGGACCGTGTGGAATCTATTTTAATTGCTTACAGTTCAGCTTTTATTGCTTGAATACGAGTGACTTATAAATAAGATATTCTTTTCTGTTACTTTTATTTAATGCCGGTTTTCAAAGCTTTAGAATGTTTTGGTTCCGTATTTTATTCTTTTTCAAGATGAGAAAACTAAATTATTATTTGCCTGAGATCTGAAGTCACAGTGAATACCAGACCTGCCCAACCTTTTTCTTTCCAAAACCCGTGTTCTTTCTACTCTTGCAACTTTTCTATTCTCTGGTTGGACAGAGATCGGAGACCGAATAGGAACGTTGGTCCAGTAAGGAGCTTTGAGAACTGGTTAGGTGATGAGGCATTAGGAAGTAAATGAGAAAGGTTCATACATAAAGGTACTACTTGAATATAACATCGCTCCTAATGTGTACATTTTCTCGTTAGGTTCCATAGATTAAAATATTTATGGATCAGTGTTGATCCTGTATCTCACCTTTCTGTGTGACAGTGGACTGTAGATAGCCTGGTAGGAAATCAAGAGGCAAAGTGTGTGAACGAGCTCCATCTGGTGGCTCTCCAGAGTCATGATAAAAATTGGTTTTCTGAGAAATAGGCAGTTAGTTTAGGAAATTGGAGATTGAACTATAAGATTTAAATCTACTTCCTATAGAATGTATAGGGTGTTCATTTGTCTCTTTTTCTCCATTCTTAATGAGACATGAAGCCTCATTTGCTTTTTTAAAGAGACACTGCAACTAGAATGTGTGCTAGATTTGGAAAGGAGTAATCTTACAGAGAAATGGTCAATGATGTACCACTTTTGTGATGAGAAATTATTTTTAATTAAGTAAAGTTTTTAATGTTTGTACTTAAGAATTTTTCATCTCCCCAGAAACACAGACAGTATTTTTTTTTTTTTTACCATATTAATATTTAACCTAATAGTTAAAAATATCTAATAGCCTTCTTCTTTCTCAGAATCCTACAAGGGACACTTCGGTCCTATTCACTGTGTGAGATTTAGTCCTGATGGAGAACTCTATGCCAGTGGTTCTGAAGATGGAACATTGAGACTATGGCAAACTGTGGTAGGAAAAACATATGGCCTTTGGAAATGTGTGCTTCCTGGTAAGAATTTTTATTCAGAATTACACAATTTAAAAAACGTATGATTTTGTGTCATTTTTCATCATTAATTTTATTTTAGGGTGTCTGTCTTCTATAAATTTTAAATTATGTATTATGGTTTAAGCAGAGAGAAGCCCAGGATTGTAAATTGACCAGAGAAAGGGTTGTGTTCTTGTGTTTGTTTGAAGTTTTTTGTTGTATGGCTGGGTGAGGTAGCTCATACCTATAATCCTAGCACTTTGGGAGGCCAAGGTGGGTAGAGATCCCTTGAGGTCAGGAGTTCAAGACCAGTCTGGCCAACGTGGTGAAACCTCGTCTCTACTAAAAATACAAAAATTAGCTGGGCATGGTGGCAACATGCCTGTGATTACAACAACTCAGGAGGCTGAGGCACAAGAATCACTTTAACCCGAGAGGCGGAGGTTGCAGTGACCTGAGATCATGCCACTGCACTCTAGCCTGGGTGACAGAGTGAGACTCGGTCTCAAAAAAAAAAAACCTGAAATTTGTTGTACTATCTAGTCTTTTCCTAAATTTTTTACTAGTACATTTTATGACTGGAATAGATCTAATTCAAAATTTGCTGGAAGGCAATATAAAAAATTTATCAGTAAATGTATCTAATCTCTGAATAGTGTTACTGATCCACAACAATAAAAGTAAACATATTTTTCATAAAAATAAATACCTAGTTACTAATCCCTAAGTAGTTGCAGTATGAACCCAAAAGTAATTTTGAAGAAAGACATACTGCTTTAGAATCAAAATTATTTAAAAAGGAGTTATTTCTATTATATTTTATAGCCACTGCTTGGAATAGTCTTATGTTACTCTTCTTGCTTATTGAACACTAGAAATTACTTGTAATAGTGTAATTCATATAATCATCACTGATTTTCTTTTTACAGAAGAAGATAGTGCTGAACTGGCAAAGCCAAAGCTTGGTTTTCCAGAGACAACAGAAGAGGAGCTAGGTAAATGCTAATGAATTGACTTTTGTAAGAGTCCTGGGGGGTTTAAAATTGACTGTAACAGAAGTTTTGTTCATTGGCAGAAGGAATTTATTAAATATGAACATATTTAAATCATGGAAAGTTTAAATATTTATTCATGTATATATACATATTTATAAACTAAATATTTAAGTACCTTCTGCATAGTAATAGGCACAGAGATATAGTATGGGCACGACTGATGTGGTTACTCTTTCAGAGCTTAGAGTCTAACTTGGGAGACATGCCAAAACAGACAAATTACTGTAAGGGGGATTTTAAAAAGCTTCCTAGAGAAGTGACATTTAAACTGGGACCTGAGGATGAGCAGGAGTGATTTAGGTGAGGTCATGAGATGGGGTGTTGATAGGGACAGGATGGAAAAGTTCATAGCAGGAAACCTATGTTAACTAAAAGCGCAGAACCAAAAAGGAGCATAGCATATGAGGTGCTAAGAGAACTCCATTCCTTGAGGTTAAAGAGCAACGGCAAAGTGAAACTGGAGAAGCTGGATCATTTGAGGGCCTCTGGCTATATCAGGACTTGGGGAGTTTTATACCAAAAGCAATGAGAAACCTTTAATTTTTAAGAAGAGGAATTTAAAAGAGTGCCTTGGGAGTTTGAGACCAGCCTGGCCAACATGGTGAAACCCTGTCTCTACTAAAAATACAAAGATTAGCTGGGCATGGTGGCAGATGCCTGTAATCCCAGCTACTCAGAAGGCTGAAGGAGAATAGCTTGAACCCAGGAAGTGGAGGTTGCAGTGAGCTGAGATCGTGCCACTGCTCTCTAGGCTGGGTGACAAAAGAGAGACTCTGTCTTAAAATATATATATATTGCCTTGGCTGTAGCATGTGGAAAGAACTGGACTGGGAATAAGAGTGAACATAGACCAGTTAGGGGGCATTGTAGTCCAGATCAGTGATCATGCAGGTTGTTTTGTTTTGTTTTGTTTTTGAGATGGAGTCTCGCTCTGTCGCCCAGGCTGGAGTGCAATGGCGCGATCTCCGCTCACTGCAACCTCCGCCTCCTGGGTTCAGGCAATTCTCCTGCCTCAGCCTCCTGAGTAGCTGGGATTACGGGCACACGCCACCACACCCAGCTCATTTTTGTATTTTTAGTAAAGATGGGGTTTTACCATGTTGATCAGGCTGGTTTTGAACTCCTGACCTAGTGACCTGCCCCCTTGGCCTCCCAAAGTTCTGGGATTACAGGCATGAGCCACCGTGCCCAGCCAAACATAAAGTTTTTAATAAGGGAATTGCAATGAGAACCAAAAATGGTAGCTAGAATTGGGAGTCTTGTTAGACTTGTTAGAATTGTGAGATTGATGAGTGGGGGTATAATAAGGAAGACTTGAGATTGCTGCCATGAGAAACTGGGTATGATGATTTTCGGGGAGAATGGGAAGGCAAAGTTTACTACCATTTACCTGATTAAATTTTCCTTAAATTTTTTTTATTGTTAAATCACCTTCTTGCTAAAATTTAATGTTAATGGTTAACGTTTTGCTTTAAATAGCATTAAATATTTGGATTTGAATCAGTGAAAGAGAGGGCCAGATCTTTCAAAGACCTGACTTTAATTCAGGGTTTATTAGATAGCTGGAATCATTGAAAGTTTAGGCCAGAAAGGGACCCTCGGAGGTTGAGTGATGGTGTAAGATAGTCTAGTGGCTGAAACACATGAACTCTTTCTCTGCCTTTTCGATCCTTTTCAGGGCCATGCGTCTCTAGTTGTTAGTGGCATGCACAGTTGTTCTCTTCTTCCCCTTACCATAGTGTGCTTTAAAAGCACTTTGTTATTCCTTCTTAAACAGAAATGTAGATTTGCTGCTTTTATTAAGTTGACTAATGTGAGTTTTTTTTTTAACTTGTAGAAGAAATGACATCAGAGAATTCAGATTGCATCTATTCTTCAACTCCTGATGTTAAGGCCTGAGTATCAATCATATGCTGCAGTTAGTATACAACTTATGGACTGAAATGAGCGAGCAGAGAGAAGCATCAGCCTTCCAGAGTTACTCTCTGCTTCAGGCAGAAACAGCAGTAAATAATGGGGGAAATGAATTAGCTCCAGTGCTGAAACAACTAACTTGGTGTTACCTGTAAGTGAAAACTTGAGTGTCAGATGAAGGGAGGTGGTTATCCACTTGTAGTAAGTACAGTGGCCTATCATCTTTCTAATGAATATATACAAGCCAACATCCAATTTCTATTATTACCATTAGGGTTCTTGTAGCTGTTTATGTTTATGGAGAAGAAAAATATATTGGCTTATTTTTCTGACTTTCTTCCTTAAAGCAGAATGCCTTTTTTTTTGGCTTTAGTTGTAAAGAAGAGGGAAAACGTGATAAAGTAGCTGGTTTGATTCCTCTTTCATTGTACACGGCTTCTGAACATCTAATTGTTTTTAGTTGTCTAAATAAAATGCCTCTAAAACAAAACAATGTTCAGTTTTTTTGGGGGGAGAAACTCCTAATTTGAGTTTTATAAATGGAAATAGCCAGAAAGGTTTTCTGTATTATAACCATAGCAAAAGGTAAGCTGATTAAATAAGCTATTTTAACGTTATTTTCTAGTACTGAGATTCATTACTAGTACTGAATTTCTGAAATTCTCATGTCCTTTACTAGTGTTTCATTTACTTTCTCTATTCCCGGATTGGATAGAAGAAGTGCTTGGCATGTGTTTTTAAATGATATATTTAAATAATGCATGCTAGCTATGGGGGGAAAATCAACTGAAATTAGCAGTAAGCAGAATGATCACTTAAAATCCTACCACTTCTCCTCAAAAAACTTAAAATCGAATGATTGTTAATGCACATTCGGGCATCTCTATGTGTGTATACAGATAGATAGAATGGATTTTATAAAAATGGGAGTACTACAGACCTTCAGTGGCTTAAGAAGTATGGAATTTACCTCCTTCTTTATATTGGGTAGCATTCAGAAAGCCCTTTATCAGCCTAATAAATTAGATCAAGTGAGTTCAGACTTACAATTTATTTACAAGTTATTTATATATAGAGGGCATATTAGACTCGTAATTTGAAAATACTTGAAATGAATAAATAAGATCTCTGCCAACTTCCTTTTACTCCTGATCAGTCTTGTGAGTGACCCATGATAACTTTTCTTAAAAGCAATATGAATCAACCGAAGAATGAGATTACTTTTTGAGGATTTGTGATAACCAGAAAGCACTGTAGGCTGTGACAGCCTGTGAGGGCCAGGAGAAATTTAGGGGAGCCAGCTGGTGACCCACATGGGTTTTCATAGGGTGGTAGTATTTTCATGTCAGCCTGCTACATGCTTGACCCACGTGGGCTTTCATAGGGTGGTAGTGTTTTCATGTCAGCCTGCTACATGCTTGAACCTCGTGGGCTTTCATAGGGTGGTAGTGTTTTCATGTCAGCCTGCTACATACTTGACCCACGTGGGTTTTCATAGGGTGGTAGTGTTTTCATGTCAGCCTGCTACATGCTTGAACCTCGTGGGTTTTCATAGGGTGGTAGTGTTTTCATGTCAGCCTGCTACATGCTTGACCCACGTGGGTTTTCATAGGGTGGTAGTGTTTTCATGTCAGCCTGCTACATGCTTGAACCTTGTGGGCTTTCATAGGGTGGTAATATTTTCATGTCAGCCTGCTACATGCTTGACCCACATGGGTTTTCATAGGGTGGTAATATTTTCATGTCAGCCTGCTACATGCTTTTGACCCACATGGGTTTTCATAGGGTGGTAATATTTTCATGTCAGCCTGCTACATGCTTTTGACCCACATGGGTTTTCATAGGGTGGTAATATTTTCATGTCAGCCTGCTACATGCTTGAACCTCGTGGGTTTTCATAGGGTGGTAGTGTTTTCATGTCAGCCTGCTACATGCTTGAACCTCGTGGGCTTTCATAGGGTGGTAGTGTTTTCATGTCAGCCTGCTACATGCTTGAACCTTGTGGGCTTTCATAGGGTGGTAATATTTTCATGTCAGCCTGCTACGTGCTTGAACCTCGTGGGTTTTCATAGGGTGGTAATATTTTCATGTCAGCCTGCTACATGCTTGACCCACGTGGGTTTTCATAGGGTGGTAGTATTTTCATGTCAGCCTGCTACATGCTTGACCCACGTGGGCTTTCATAGGGTGGTAGTGTTTTCATGTCAGCCTGCTACATGCTTGAACCTCGTGGGCTTTCATAGGGTGGTAGTGTTTTCATGTCAGCCTGCTACATGCTTGAACCTTGTGGGCTTTCATAGGGTGGTAATATTTTCATGTCAGCCTGCTACGTGCTTGAACCTCGTGGGTTTTCATAGGGTGGTAGTATTTTTATGTCAGTCTGCTACATGCTTGAATCTCTGGTGTGCAGCAGGGTTGTCATTGTTACCAGCGGTTGCCCAGACTCTAACTAGAGTCTCATTTACCCTCAGTAAAGTTTGGTATTTATCAGATTGGAATCATGAAGTTGCCTATTATTTATGAACCAAGGGAATTTCTACTTAGGTTTCATAAAAGTCTAATGACCCTGTACAGGTACAATCCTTTGTGTATTGGTTTCCTGCTGCTGCTATAACAAGTGACCACAAGTCTGTACCTTAAGACGACACAAGTTCGTTATCTTATATTGTGGGAGGTCAGAAGTCCACAATAGGCCTTACTGGGGTTAAATTAAGGTGTGAGCAGAGCTGCAAGCCTTCCAGAGGCTCTACAGGACAGTCTGTTTCCTTGCCTTTTCTAGCCTCTAGAAGCCAGCTGCATTCCCTGGCTCACGGTTCCTTCCTCTGTCTTTACATCCAGCAGCTTCCACTTTTTAATCTCTGACTCTTAATGTGACTCTGCATCTCCTGCTGCGATTCTTTTACTTATAAGGAGGTTTGTAATTATATTGGGCCCACCTGGATAATCCAGGATAATCTTCCCATTTCAAGATCTTCAATTTAATCATGTCTCCAGAGTCCCTTTTGCCATATAGAGTGACATATTCACAGGTTCTGGGGTGTGGAAAGTGGACATCTTTGTGGGGGCTATTCATCATTAGTCTGCTCACCACAAATTGTAATGGTAGAATCCTACAGTAGAATTCAGCAAAACTTTCAGGTACATGTTTCTAGAGCAGTGGTCACTTTTCTCCTCTCACTAAACCTTCAGCAGCATTCCATAATTGTCACTTCCTTGTTTTTGATTTTTTTTTTTTTTAGCTTCTATGAAACTATGCTCTTTTTATACCTTACTGACTCCTGTATTTGCCAGTTCCTTTTTTTCTTAACCTCTGATCTGGACTGTACTTTCTAGCTCTGTTCTCTCTAAAATATCATCTGCTGTACAACATTCAATCTCATATGCAGCAGGCCATCCTCCACTGAAGAGTGAGACATGGCAGGAACCTCCTCAAAGCTCTTACCCCTCCAGTGAAACCTGTGTATAGCTTCAGCTGGTGTGAGACTCAGTTACTCAGGAAGATTCTAGCTTTCACCTACCTTCCCATTTATTCATCCTCTGGAGTCTCCTCTCTAGGTCCTAATTTCTAGGAGGTCATGGTATCCCAAGTTCCCACCTAATATTAGTAATTTACCTTCTTATAAATCAATTGCTTCTCTATTTTAGTGTCATCCAGAGGTTTCTTCCAGGAAGCCAGGATTGAGTATGGTTATTCAATTCTCATAAGAATATTTTTGATGTCAGTAAAGTTCAACACATTGTTTTTAGTGTTTATAAAATAGCATAGTAAAGATGGACCATGATTTATAACAAATTACAGGTTATGTCTTTTAGTAGTTGCTCAAATTCCATGGAAGTATTTAGCTGCCTTTTCTTTGAGACCAGCTAGAACTGATTGGTAAAGAAGTCATACTAGCTAGGATGGGGCTATTTGGACAATATTCATGGTTTTCTATTATCAGACATGATTATGAATAGCCCTGTTTTTGTTGATTCATTATGCTCACAGTGGCTTTGGCTGATGCTGTTCTGTGAAACTGTATATGCTTAACCAGGGAAAACCATGGTCCAGTTAGGAGTTTCAGGCCAGCTCCAGGCTTTCAGGGCCTGCTTTTCTGTTTTTCAAGGTTAATATAAAAAACGTAAGTGTTAAGCCGGGTGCTGTGGCTCACGCCTATATTCCCAGAGCTTTGGGAGGCCAAGGCAGCTGTGGCTCATGCCTGTATTCCCAGAACTTTGGGAGGCCAAGGTGGGTGGATCACCCGAGGTTGGGAGTTCGAGATCAGCCTGACCCACATGGAGAAACCCTGTGTCTACTAAAGAAAAAAAAAAAAAAAAAAAAAAAAAAGCCAGGTGTGGCGGTAATACCAGCTACTTGGGAGGCTGAGACAGGAAAATCGCCGGAACCCGGGAGGCAGAAGTTGCAGTGAGCTGAGATTATTCCACTGCACTTCAGCCTGGGTGATGAGAGCAAAACCCTGCCTCAAAAAATAAATAAATAAATAAATAAATACATACATAAAAAAGGTAAGTGCCATAGTATGTATGAATAGCATCTAGACACATTTGAAACATTCAACAGTGGCTGTGTGTGGACAAGACTGAAAGCTCAGTGTAGAGGAATATACAAAGACCACTAATCCTGTTTAAAACATCTCAGTAATTACCGTGTGAACCTTCCAACAACATTAACAGCTTCCATTTTTTAAGCATCTGCTGTATGCCATGTTATGTGCTAGGTGCCTTGCATATATTCAACAGCTTTGCAAGGTGAACATATTTTGATCACCTCTGTTTTACAGGTAAGTAGGCAGACAATTATTTCCAGAACCGACAGGTTACTGTATTAAATGGAAGAGCTGGTATGTTAATGGGTTCAGCTTATTTGGAGCCCGCTGTGTTTCCACTATACCAGGATGCCTTTCTATTCAGAACTTTGATGTCTAAAGGTATAGCAATGGAGATAAAATACATTCTTGACAGGATTGTTCAGAGACTCAGATGCTATCATACATCTATGTATGATGTATGAAAGCATCTGGCACAATCACTGGCCCATGGTAGACAAGTCAAAACTAACTGTACTCTGCTTTCACGCAGAGGTGCCTCTAAATGTGAGTACAGGTAAGTTAACTATATTGAGGTTGCGGAGTGACTCGAGGATTTTAACTTCTTGGTCACAGAAATCATGCTGAAGAATTTTACCATTATAGAGTCATAGAATATGAAAGCACCAAGAAATTATCAAGCTCATCTTTTACAGATGAGAAAAATGAAGCTCAGAAAAGCAGTTCATTTGCCCAGTGTCACACATTTAATTATTGCTGGAGCTAGGCTAAGAAACCAGGTCTACTGACTGCCAAGCCCTTGCGTTCTCCTGGCCACACAGCTGCTTTTCATGACATGTAGAAGTCACTGTGCCCTGGGGCCCGTGGTTGCCCCTTGGTTTCCCTAACAAAGATACGGGATCACTGCTGACATTTCAGATTTGAAGTCGCAGAGCTCTGCACTTGGATCCTCTCCCTTCTTGTTACGTAATCTTACAGTTAATGGTTTCTAGGAATGCTTTTTTATTACGTTTCAATTGGCAATTTCAGTATTTTTAAAAGGGTGTTGGTAGCTTTATTTCCGGGAGCTACGTTGCGCTCCCCTTCCGCATCTCGTGGAGAAGATGGGGCAGGGGAGCGGTGAGATTTCCACGCGGAGCAACAGGCCAAGGGTTCTGACCCCGTGGCCCAGGCCGGCGGCTCCACCCCTGGAGCGGGCAGGGGGCAGGGGCGGGGCGAGCGCGCGGCCGGGCGGGAAGGCGGAAGGGCCCGACGCCGCGCAGAGCCGGGAGCTGCGGAGCCGCCCGCGCCATGTCTGCGCACAATCGGGGCACCGAGCTGGGTAAGAGGGCTGCGGGGCTCCCCATCCCCTCTCCCTCGCGTCCCGCGCCGCAGGGACTAGCGCGGAGCCCGCCGCCTCCCAGTGCCTTGGCCGTGGGTCCCCGAGGGGTTCTCGCCGGGGCGGGAAGCAGTGACGTCGGGTCCGCAGCCGCCCCAAGCCAAGGCCGAACCCGCGAGGCGTAACTCTTGGGCACTTTGGCGCCGCTGGCCTTTGCACCAAGCTTTGCTCTTGTATGTGGAAGGAGTAGGGAAGGATTAGGTTATCGCCTTCCAACCTGTTGGTTCACTCCCGTTCCCTGGTTGGAAGAAAAACCCAACAACCTAAAGAACAAATCCCCCAACAAACAAACCCCAAGCAGGTGAAACCAGATAAAAACCTTCCTTCTCCTCCCTTAATACAATACCTGTGTAAGTTAACGCAGTATTTCCGTAGACGATTTTAACTGCATCCCTGCGGCCGTGCTTGTGCCAAAGTTGTCAGCCTTCTGTGCTCAAAGTGTAACACCGCAGATTGTGTGTGATTCGAGAGGGACAAAGATTTGTTAAAGTCCCTGTATTAGTTGCCCAGTTTTCGTCTTTTTTATATTAGTTCAAATATTACTGGCAAGAAAACGTAGTTCATATTGCCTGAAATGTGAAAAATTTATAATTCAAGCAGCAAAACCATGATCAAGATAAAGATTAAGCGTCTCAGTTTAAGTTTTATAGCTTGGATATCTGTGTATCCAGGATCTCTTTAACTTCTTACCTGTGTGACTTCGGGCAAATTAATCACTTTGCATTTAGGTTTCTTCGTGTGTAAAATGGTTAGAATAGTGGTAGTTACCTTATAAGGCCGTTGGGAGAGTCAGTGGGAGGACACATTAACTACAAAGGAGTTTGGTATATTGTGAGCACCTGCTAAGTCTTCAGTATAGATAGTATATGCAGTCATGGTTTTAGGGACTAATTTTGGGAAAATTGGCTATAAATTATATGTAACACATACAGGTACTCCCCGCCCCCCTTAAAAGTGGCTTGTACTAAAACAGTCTGCATTTCAAGAGATGTTCTGGAATTTTTGTTGAATGGTAAGAGAGTAAATCTGTCATTTTAAAGACAGTTGATTTCCTAACCTAGTTGATTTTCAGTCACCGTTCTCTAGCTGATAATGTCTTAAATTCTAGTCCCATCTCCAGAACGTGGACTTTATTAATAACGGCGTATTTCTTAGATTGGAATATCCTTGAAGCTGGTGAACATGGGACAGGTTTGGGGTGGTGTCGTACCTTGGTGTTCCCGGGGATATTACCATATGATTATGCATATATCCAGGATGTGCCCTAAATTTCCCAAAACTTAGACATTTTAAATTTGTCTTTCAAAAAACATAAACCATTTTTACATTTCCTTTTTTCTTTGTTTTTTTTTTTGAGACGGAGTCTTGCTCTATGGCCAGGCTGGAATGCAGTGGTGCGATCTCGGCTCACTGCAACCTTCGCCTCCCGGTTTCAAGCGATTCTCTTGCCTCAGCCTCCCAAGTAGCTGGGACTACAGGCATCCGCCACCACGCCGAGCTGATTTTTTATATTTTCAGTAGAGACAGGATTTCACCAAGTTGGCCAGGATGATCTCCATCTCTTGACCTCGTGATCCACTCGCCTCGGCCTCCCCAGCGTGCTGAGGTTACAGGTGTGAGCCACTGTGCCTGGCTTGAATTTCTTCATTTGCAGTAATTAGAATCACTTCCATTCATTTATTGAGAAGTGAAAGTATAGACATAAGTAATTGCCAGGTGGAATAATAGTAAATATGATTTTTTTATGCAGCTATTGAAATGATCATAGCTTTGTTTTTCTTATTTTCTTTGTTAAAATCAGATTTTTTTTTCCTTCACAGGTATTAATTCTTAATCCAAACAGGTTTAAACTGAAATGCTAGAATAAATTATTTGAATCATATACTAGGGAAAAAATCATTCAGTATTAATTTATGCAGTATATTAACGGATTTTTAAAATCGTTTTCTAATTTAAGGTCTTTTTAATAAACATAACTGATTTCTAAAATTAACATTTTTGTTCTCTTATTACAAAAGGAATTCATGGTTATTGTAAAAATTCTAGAAAATACAGTTAGCACAAGAAGTAGTGTAGAATTATTACTAATCCAGTCACTGTTGTTTATATTTACTGTGTATACTTGTAGTTCACAGACGTAAAAAAGAGTTCCTTTGAGATTAAACCTGACCTTCATGATTAAAAATTCTTTAAGGAAAACACTGGCATTTAGATGTATGAAAGATGTTTTCCAAATAGGGAACATACCCTCTAGCTTTAATGTTAGAGGACGGGGCCCACATTCTGAGTTGTTTTTAATGTTAGAGGATGGGCCCAGCATTCTGAGTTTTTTTGTTTTTTTTTTGAGACGGAGTTTCACTCTTGTCACCCAGGCTGGAGTGCAATGGCGCGATCTCGGCTCACCACAACCTCCACCTCCTGGATTCAGACAATTCTCCTGCCTCAGCCTCCTGAGTAGCTGGGATTACAGGCACGCACCACCACGCCCAGCTAATTTTTTGTATTTTTAGTAGAGACGGGGTTTCACCATGTTGACCAGGATGGTCTCGATCTGTTGACCTCGTGATCCACCCACCTCGGCCTCCCAAAGTGCTGGGATTACAGGCGTGAGCCACCGGCATTCTGAGTTTCCACAAGCCCTGTCGGTAGTACTGAAGCATACCCAAGTTTGAGAACCATTAGCTTAGGGGTCTCCAAGGACTGTCAAGACTGTTATGCTCTATGTAGTCTATTAAAATGTACAGATATTCTTCTATTTTATTAGATGTCACTTAACTATTGCCTAAAATGTAGGTGTACATCGTGATCTTTCTTTTGTTCACTAATGTATTCCAGGTACCTAGAATAGTGTTTGGTACACAGAAGACCTTCAAAAATGTCTTGAGGCTGGGCACGGTGGCTCGTGCTTGTAGCACTGGCACTTTGGGAGGCCAAGGCAGGCAGATCACTTCAGATCAGAAGTTGGAGACGAGCCTGGCCATCATGGCGAAAGCCCCTCTCTACTGAAAATACAAAATTAGCTGGGCATGTTGGTGCATGCCTGTAGTCCCAGCTACTTGGGAAGCTTAGGCACGAGAATGGCTTGAACCCAGAGGGTGGAGGTTGCAGTGAGCCGGAATTGTGCCACTGCACAACAGACTGGAGACAGACTCTGTCTCAAAAAAAAAAAAAAAAAGTCTGTTGAATGAAGGAATGAATTGAGACCTGCTTCTTGCTTGGGGGAACTGGGGAATCTACCTGGGCCCCATGCATGGTTGCATGGACAGGTGCTGTGAAGCACGGCACCTTCTTCTTTTTTGTGAATATTATTAAGATTGAATTTTGTTACTTCTCTCTTCAAAGATACCTCAAAAAGCCTATAAAGGATGTAGACAGTGTAACCTCCTTGCAAATGTTATCTTTGGAGGCGTCTGGAGAATGGGGTATTTTTAGATGACTTCTAAGGATTTCCCTGCTTTGTCTCCATGTGTCCAAATACTCTTTTGTACAAAAGAAACTTTCAAAGCCTTCTGAAAAATAACCATGATGGGCTTTTGTATTTTTTTTTTTTTTTGAGACAGAGTCTTGCTCTGTTGCCCAGGCCGGAGGGCAGTGGTACAATCTCAGCTCATTGCAACCTCCGTCTCCCAGGTTCAAGAGATTCTGCTTCCTCAGCCTCCCGACTAGCTGGGATTACAGGCGTTCACCACCACACCCAGCTAATTTTTTCGTATTTTTAGTGGAGGTGGGGTTTTGCCATGTTGGCAAAACTGGTGGATTTTTTGTATTTCAAGAAGCACATTTATTTAGGTAGTTATTGAGAACCAGTCTGTGCTAGGTAGTGTTACCCTAGGCTGGGGGATACAAGATAATCAGGGATGGTAACTGCCTTCACAGAGCTATTAATAGGTCTGGCTCGGGAGCTGGGCATCGAGCTAGAGCTACAATTTAAATAAATCCAAGTGTGAGATGCAATCATGTTTCACTTATTTTTGTCTGCAGATTAGATAGATGTACCTACACTGTGCTTTAAATGGGTAGTGAAGACAGAATGTCCTGGTCCTTTTGCATTATAATTTTTAATTTCCTTTTAAAAGAACCTATGGATTAGGGACTTAGGAAACTCATTTTTAGGGAGCTCATTTTTGGCATTTCTGCTAAGGTGTAACTTGGGTACAGAGTGTTTCTGATTTGGATGATGGTGACTTGCCACAGCAAAGTTAACATTTAATTTTTGGAATGGATTTTTATTGATTATTTTTTGTTGTTTTAATAGAGACGGGTGTCACTGTATTGACCAGGCTGATCTCAAACTCTTAGCCTCAAATGATACTCCAGCCTCATCCTCCCAAAGTGCTAGGATTGTAGGTATGAGCCACCGTGAATGGCCTGGAATGGAGTCTTAAACCTTAATGACAGGCAAGGCTATCTGCTTGCACAATAATTCTTCACTTTATTTAATACCTACTGTGTGCCAGATACTGTGTTTAGGCGCTGGGCATAATGATAGTGTTAACATAGAACTCCAGCTACTGTAAGGCATTATGCTGAATGCTTGAAATTCTCATTTAGTCCACAACCGCCCTGTGAGGGAGATATTATGATCCTCATTTTCACATGAGCAACTTGAGGTATACAGAGTTTTAAGTAACTTGCCAAAAACCAGTTAGGTATAGCTAATGTGGCAGAGCCAGAATTCAAGCCCAGGTGATCTGGTGCTACATGCTTAAACCACCGCACTGTGTCTACTTGTGCCAATTGGGAGAGCTACACCCGAATGCCAGGAAAGTCAAATAGATAACTGGCGAATAATGTTGATTATTCTTTTAGGTTTCATTTGTCTGTTTAAAACGTAAAAGGTTATTGTTTTATTGCCATAACCCTCATCTTAACTATTGCAGTTTGTTTCGGAGAAGATGGAGTTTATCCCGAGGGAGAATGGAAAAGTCCAAACTTTGGTAGAT